AGTTTGCAACGCTAAAGTAAGGAAGCAACAGAAACCGGGAGAGAGGGAGCGGTGGAAGAGAAAGAAAAGAGAGAAGGCTGTGTCTGACATTACAGCGGCGCTCCAAAAATAGCTCCCTGGCGCCCTGGCCTCCAGCTCGGTTGTCATAGCGACAGAACCACAGGCGCTATAAATAGACTATCAGCTCCAAATCTTGTGTGACTGGAGAGAGGCCAGAGAGAGGGAGAGACAGACAGAAAGAGAAAGAGTGAAGAGAAAAGGAAAGACAGAGGGAGTGGAGAGAGAGAGAGAGAGGGAGGGTTGGAGGGAGGAGGGAAAGGTGGAGAAGGGCCAGTCAGAAAAAGAGGGGAAAGCAAAAAGAGAGAACGAGAGAAAAAGCAGGTCTGGTTTCGCAAAAGAGGGATGGGGGAAGAAGAGAGAGAGAGAGACGCTCAGAAAGAAACATGGCGGATGTTTTAGGAATTTTCTCTCTCATGAGGCGCTGGCCTTATGCTTAGGAACTGCGGGACAAGCAAGAATGCTACGTTTATTTGCTTTACAAAAAACATTTTTTTGTAAAAAACGTTTTAGAAAATAATTTTTGTGTTTCTTTGAAACAGACAACATTATTGAAACAATTTACCCTCTGAAACTCATGCAAGAAGAAATGCAACATTTATTTGGTTTCGGAAAAATAGAAATGCAAGTAAAGAAAGTAATAGAAACACTACACACACACACACACACACACACAAATGGATAATTAAAACTTTTTATATATCTGTCCCATCAACTAACTATAGCCTTGAAATGTTGCCCATTAAGAATTAGTATAAAAAGGTTTTGGATGGATCTAATTGCTTTATTATTACCTACAATATTGCACTTTCCTAAACGCCACACAAAGCAACTGTATTCATACTTTGACGTCTAACAATATAGTAAGTGGATAATAAAAATATAATCACCAAAATTCATCATAAGTCAAAACCTACTATTTTATTGCAAAAATATTGAAATGATTGAAGATGGTATCAATAAATATTGCAGCAAAGAGAACTGCTTAAATATGATTAATACTGTACATAAACTATTGCTTCTTACTAAACTGCAGTATTTATACTTTGCACTTTCCTAAACGCCACACAAAGCAACTGTATTCATACTTTGACATCTAACAATATAGTAAGTGGATAATAAAAATATAATCACCAAAATTCATCATAAGTCAAAACCTACTATTTTATTGCAAAAATATTGAAATGATTGAAGATGGTATCAATAAATATTGCAGCAAAGAGAACTGCTTAAATATGATTAATACTGTACATAAACTATTGCTTCTTACTAAACTGCAGAAAGTATACCCTACTTAAAAGGCACAGAAATCTTATAGAAAGTGGTAAATCTTTTGCACTCCCTTGGGTTTTTCACACTGCACTTAACCCCGGGTTATTTTAGTTCTAAACATCGCTTTTAAGCCTGGGTAAAAGAACGTTTCTTTCGCACATGTAATTTAGAAGCAGCGTTAGCGCTGCTTTTTCCTCGGGGTTATGAAACCCTGCTCTGAAGCAGGGTTAGCCCCTCTTTTGCGGTGTTAACCCCCACATTGCAGTGCCAACCTTGTACAGTGTGAAATGGAGCAGTGTTAGCATGTTACTGCTGGATGCTTAGCAACAGACAACCAATCAGAAATTGAACAGCGTGGCTCATGTCAATAAGAGGAAGTGCACATTGTGTAAACAGTGCAGCATTTGAGGGAAAAATAAGAAGTGACCCTTCACAGGGAGCTTGATTGACAGGCAATCTGACCAATCATAACGCTGAATCAGTGGACTTAAACTTGAAAAATTGTGTGTACTGACATCTTCCCGTGGTTGAAATAAAATACCTTCTGTGATTCTTTCGTATTTATTTGGCACTTTAAGTAAATATGAAAAGACGATCGGTTCACGTGCTGCTTGAACTGAGACGCTACAGTGATCTGTCACAACACATTAATGAGCCACAAAACTGTATTTATTGTTTGAATATCTTTAAAAAAAGAAACAAATTGAAAGCTGACACTTTGAGTCATACCAGAAGTAACCTGCTCTGTCTTGTCTGTCGTCATGTTGTCAGTTTCCTCTTTGCTCCGCAATGTATTTTTCACTGCGTGAGAATGTGTGGCATGAGAGCGGCATGGCTTGTTGGACGTAGCAACAGTAACTAAGGGGGAAGGGTCAATTGGAGTGAGAAGGAGACTGTTATTCTTACAGTTAGTTGTTTGTTGTTAGGTGCCACAATGTAATTGCGATTCTGCATCAAAAGCATCTCATTGATTTTCGTAATGTGGTCTTTCAAAGCGTTTACTTCAACGGCTCTAGCCCAAGCTGTGATATAGACTAAACACTATTGGCTATTTAAAAAAAGGGCTGCTTGATATGTCCTGCCCTGTCTTCCTGTTTCAGTTGAAATGATGTCAACACATTGAATAACGCTGTGTTTCAAAGCACTTCAGTGGACCTTTAAAATAAGATGTCTGTTGGACCATTTAAGAAATTTTATTCGCACTCATGCTCCTAAATACATTTTACATTTGGCACATCTATTTTTAGTCGAAACGCTTGCACTGTCGAGCCCTGTTGTTTGTGTCATTTGAAAGTACTGTGTCCGGTCACTGTCAGTAAATGCGAGAAAAGCCAGGTAAACGGGTTGCCTGCTGTGTTCGTCTAATCAGTGACACCGACACCGCAAATATGAAAATAAGGACTTTAACCTGGGGTTTAGGAATGTGCAGTGTGAAACGGCAACTTATGAATACCCAGTATTAACTTTTAACCCTGGGTGAAGTATAAGCAATGTGAAACGTGAAGCAAGATAACCCAGGGCTCTGTTTACCCAGGGTTTTGAAAGGAAAAAAAAATGTTTGGAACTATAAACGATTTAACTGAAAATAAAGAATAAGTAAATTTTAAAAAATAAATAACTGGAACACAATACTTCTCTGATTTATAAAAACACGGTAAGCTTGTAGAAAATATTCTCAATTTTTTATTATTTTTTTTATACAAATTATTTTTCTTTAACAGCATAACCCTAATGATTTTTTGAGATATAACGCCACAAAATAACGCTTCTCTGGTTTACAAATTTACAAAGCCCTGTGGTTTCTTTTTTTCTTTTTCTGAAAACCCTAAACCTTTCTTTTATGGTGCTAACAAAATGCAAACAAGCAAGAGCGTTCCTCTAATTTACAAAAATATAGAAAGCTCCAAGAAATTACTGTCCACATTAAACACATGCTTTCTCTATTCAAACACCTCTTGCACATCTGAATGGTTGCAGGCAGGTGCGCTGGATACAGGAAATCCTGGTGGCAACATTTCGGTCGTGAGACCTTTGTCAGGAATTTAAAAAAAAAGATTTGCATTTACAAAATAGAAACATTTCTCTGTTTTATGGAAATATAGGAAGCATGTAAAAACACACTGAATTTACGCAAATGAAATGCAAAAGAGGAGGAATACAAACATTTCGTTCATGAGACCTTTGTCAGGAATTAAAAAAATAATAATAAATTTTAAAAAATCACACTTGATCTGCATTTACAAAATGTTAACAGACAGGAATGGAACAGTTCTCAATTTCATGGAAATATAATTGGATAATTTATGGAAATATAGAAAACATGTAAATAACATTAAAGAAACATTTCTTCTTTTCTAAATACACTTATTGAATTAATGCAAACAAAACGCAAAAAAGGAGAAATACAACATTTCTTTAGTATATGAGAACATAACAGAAAATTGCTTTTTACGCACGTTTGCCCTGAAAACACATTAACCCCAAGTAAACGTTTCTTATTCTCTAGCTTACAAAAATAAAGGAAGCTTGTACAAACATAGTTAACTTGCTTCAGTAATACACACACGCTTCCTCTTAGAACAGCATAACCCTAATGAAACTATTCTCATTGTTTTTTTGTTTCTATCTCAGCCATCTTCCATCACTCCAGTGACGCTACTAGCAGATGCAGGAAGAACTAGTCAGGAGGAGAGGGAAAAAAAACTAACTGCGATACTTCAGTATTCTTCTCACGCTTTGCGTAGCCATTCTTGTGTTTGTCTCAATGATAATGTTATTGAGCCCACGTTACTGCAGTGGCTCGACCATACAAAGAAACGGAGGTGAATGAAAACACAAACGCATGCACACGTTCAATATGGACACCTGGCCATGTGACAGGAAGAGCCTTGAAAACACTCAGACAAAAATGAGCTCATAAGAGGACGAGCGCTTGACGACGCTGGTTTCTTGCTGAACGTGTGTACGTGCGTGAGCATGCTCGAAACAGCACTGTCATTCTCCTCCGTCCCTCTTTGCAGTCTGGGAGGTTGGGAGTTGCCCTCCAAACAGTTGCAAGTAGCCACCATTATCACTTCAAGCTCATTTTTCTCCTTCAAAAGAGAAGATGCATTATTCGCGATACTTGCGGATTGCCTCTCAAACAGTCTCCTTCTGCTGCAAGTGAGTGAACCAGCGAGTTAAAAATAGCTCTCTCTTTCTCCGCTCTACGTTTACATAAGCATGCAGTGGGGAGCGATGGAGGGGCCACTTCCGGTCTAAACGGCTCAGGCCAGCGTCTGATCCACAACAACCACCAGTGGCTGTGGGAGAGGACAGGACACACACACACACGCACGCGTATGCGCCACAATGCAGGAAACCTTTCAATGTATACCCAACATTCATACCTCTGTGTCTTCTGAAAGCTCTGTCTAGCACTCATCAGTGTCTCTTTTTCACATTGTCACTTCTGCACTCATCGCATTTCTATTTCCCTCCCTCTTGAATGCATAAATCAGTCCGATACATGCAACGTGCTACAAAAGTCACACAAACAAGTCACGCGAGTCGAGTGCAACTGACCTGACCAACAATACCAAGAATATTCCAAAGCATTTATGTTCAAATACTAATTCTACACAAACAAAAAGCTCTTCAAACCCAGCATTTAAAAGAAACCAAATACTCACTACTGTGCGCAGTCGATCAGTTGATATTCGTTGGATCTTTCGAAGCAAGCTCTCACTCCTTCATCCTGCCACAGGGTCTTTGTGTGTTCATAAAATTCCTGTTGGGAAGACAAGTGGAAGAGAGGACAAACCCATAAACTAGCTGTCGGAATCCAGGCAAATCTTTTACACCTCTGTCGTTTGGCTGCATATAATTTTTAAACATGTTTGTGTTAGTTTTGCACAGACTCTTTAGTGCATGCTAACTAGTGCTGGGCGGTATACCGGTTCATACCGAATACCGGTGTTTATTTTTGTTATGATATGAATTTTTAAAATACCGCAATACCGGTGTATGTCGCTTAAACAACGTTCGGAACGCGACACTGTTTGAAAAGGGTCCCTTTTCACTGTTGCACTGTGGTGAGGGAACAGCTGTATGTGTTACTAAGCGTGAAAGTTCAGAAACTGAAGCTGTAGAACTAATAGAACGTGATGACACAGAAGAACTCATCCACAATATCCACATTGACCGCCACAAATATCCACCGCCCCCCTGCCATCAGCTCTCGCATCTCACACACACGAGCACGACTTTAGCACTAGATTTAGCAACTTTCAGACCCTTTTAGCGGCTTTTTCCATAGAATATTCATACTGA